CATACCGCATAGCGTAGGGATGATATCCCGAATCGGTGGTTAGGCGCTTCTAATGATTATTGCTTATGCGGGAAGGCATTTGTTGTCATGGAACTGCACATTTGTGTTGTTCGATATGAGGAGGTAGATGTGAAAAAGCAGTTGTGAATGAATTAGATGTGACAAGTGAGATAAGAGAAGTGAAATGTGATCTGTTAAAAATAAAGAAATAGATGCGTTATATAAAAGGAATAATCTTTTAATAGCGTGATATTTTTGTTCAAAAAGTATTTTCCATGCATAAAAGAAAATACCTGAGAAATCGGTTTAAACGGAAACGAGAAAATGTATGGATTATAGAGTTTTGTTGCAGAATTTGTAGCGTGATTTTCTCGTGAAAAACTGAATTTTCAAATGAAATAACTAGTCATGTGAACTGGGATTGCCAAATTTGTGCAAAAAGTGGGTTTCGTCCATCCCCTTTCCGTTGTTTAGATAATTGGCATTGGTCAAAATTGGAGTTACTGAGGACAGGAGTTCGATCCAACCAGCACTTGGCTTGGCTATTTTTTTTTTTTTTTTTTTTTTACATTTCTGTAGCTCTTATACTGTTTAAATCAATAAATACATTTACTTGAACTCATTAAATACGCGTCAATCAAGTATTGCACTTGATTCAAAATCATCAAACATATATCGCGTGTGAAAATCGCTTCGGAATGCTTGCGTTCTTGATAGGCTTGGCCAGTTTGTATTTGTGTCGAAATGGCAACGCCTCCCCTAGAACACCGATCTCCCGTGAAGCAGCGAAATGATGCGTACGACCCACAACGACATCCTTAGTCGAGGCTTCATCGATTCAGCTTGCTTGTGGGAAAAACCAACAACGAAAAATTGCGAATCCTTGGAACGTAAACTCGAATATCATTCCTAGCAGTCTACGCGTTGAGCAAAAACCGAACGTAATCGGTCGTCGTAATCTAAAAAATCCCAAACAAGCTCCGGAACCACTCAACGTACGAGGAAGAGCCTACGATCTTGAACCTCCGCACCAAGACTTGGTGCTTAGTATATGAGGTGATGGGGCAATCTGAAGAAAGCCATTAGTACGAAAGCCATTAGGCCGAAAGTCATTAGGTCGAAAGCCATTAGGCCGAAATCCATTAGGCCGAATGGGTCATTTGGCCTAAATTCTAATAGGTGTTCACTATTCATGAGATGACATCTGTGTTATTCCAGATTAAGACAACAACGAGTAGCTAATGACGTAGGCAGACTTAGGTCGATCCATAGTTAAGATGTCAGAATTCATTGCTGCAATATTCCCAGAAAGAAAGAAAAATCTTCTATTAAAAATATTTATCTAGACATGTCAGCAGATAAAAAATCTTGAATCTCGAAAGTACTGCTCATAATTGAAAGAAGGAAAAGTCTGCTATGATAAATCATTGTGTAAAAATCCTCTGCAGAAAATATGCCTATCACGAAATATTTCCAAGACTCACTCACTTATAGTGTCTACAACCACGATATAAAAATTTATCTGAGCGGTTGAGTTAAAAAAAAAGTATCCAAGCTTGTGAATTGAGTCTGGGATACTAATTTATATTTCTTAGAATGAAAAACAAAATAAAACTCAAGAAAAGTTGACCGAATTTTCCCAAATCCAAAAATTTTAATTTTTATAAAGAGATAACAATTTTGATATTTTTGAAAAACTTCGAAATCTTCAAAAAATTATAATCGAAGATTATGTGACGTTTTCAATATCTCACAGAGGTTTTGAAAACCTCTCAAAGTTACATGTTCCAAGAAATACTAAGATTAATATTTTGCATTTTAAAATTCGGCCTAATTGCCCACCCGTACAGGATAGACTTCCATTGGGTATAGACGCGTGTCATGAAGTTTTTTTGTATATATCATTATTAAGGATACTTTCAGCCCTGGGCTGGTTCGTCTCCGAATAATACCATGAAGTTCTTCACAACAACTTTTCATATAAACTTCTTATTTTCTGTGTTGTTATTCAATTAAATTAAACCCAACCCCACTGGGGTGAGAAATCAGTCACGCTTACCACTACACGACCAGCGCCGGTTTTTGCAGAAAATATCTTTCCAAGTCTCACTACTTCTAATATTGTCTACGCCCACGATTTAAAAATTTATCTGAGTAGTCAAATTCAAAAAAATGTATCGAAGCTTGCGAATTGGGATCCTAATTTTTATTTCTTAGAATGAGAAACGAAATAAAATTAAAGACAAGTTGACCGAATTTTCCCAAATCCAAAAGTTTTAATTTCCGTTGGGTATAGACCTATGCCATGAAGTTTTTCACCACAACTTTTCATCACAATTATTATTTTCTGTGTCGTTATTCCTTTAAATTGAGGTTTACTTTATAGATAGCTTGACAAACCTTGGATTTAAATTATCTGAGTTATATCCCAACATATGTATTTACCGAAAATGTATCTTAAAACAGGCCTGAAGTCGAAAAAAATGCTATTTTTTCACATTGACACGTCACACAGTATTTAACTTCTAATAGCATATATTAGTGACAGTACTAATAACTATTGCTTGTGAAACAAAAGAAATCGTATCCACTTTCTATTGGTACGCATAGCATTGTCAAATTATGAAATTTGTTATAAATTTTAAACGAAGAGAGCAATCATGGGCCAAAAATATGCGTGTCACGTCACCTGGAATAGGTCTATAGGATGACATATTGGCTGGGCATCGTTAACAGCAATAGAAAGTGAGCCTAAAGACGTTTAGTGATTTCGTAGAGGAGATCGTCAGCGATGCCTACAATGTGTCGATCATGTATCCTACCAACGATCGATATAACAAACCGTATCACCCAAAGCAGTAAGAGCGGAGTCTAATTCATGTTAATGCAATGAAAGTAGTTTGTTTTGAAGGACATCGCGTAAAATCAGTTCACGACTACTGAAATAAAGATGCCAGAACAAGTAACGGTCTAAACAGAATCCCTGTTCTATTTCACAAGCTTCGTCACATTAGTCTGTTTCGAAACACGACCACATAATTTAATAAATTGATTCCATTTGAACAGCTTCATGTTACCGGGTTTGAACGATCGTCACTCAAAATGTGTTTTTTTTTTGTAAGAGGAGCTCAGAGACTAGTAGCACCGTTTTTGCATACTTTTTTTAAATTCTTTATTAAGGAGATTTTTAACCTATGGCTAGTTCTTCTCCGCATTTTCGCATACTGGGCAGGGGACTTTAGATTGAATCCCAGGCTCCTTTCTATTGTTGATTTTTCTTTGTGTAGAATATAGCATAGACAATCGCTACTGTTATGACTCGGTTGAAACTGTGCGAGAAAAAAATGTGTTCTCGGTAAAATATAACGTAGGCTGTATCCAAGTTGGAAAATATATATGAATACTACCAGAGACAACATTTCATTTGATAAACTTCATATCACCGGGGTTCAGCGATCGTCGTTTGAAATGGTTTGTTGGCATGTAAGGGGTTTGATGGCATAGTGGAGTCCATTTTTGCTTACAGAACAGTAGATCGTTGGGCTCAGATGTCAGTTTGTTTAGAAAAGACGTGTTCTTACCATGAGTATTTCGAAATGAAAAATGAAGCGAGAGTCAAAATGGCCGACTTCCTGAACAATTTGAACAATTATCCATTGCGAACTGTACTGAAAAATTTCATGTGGATTTCATGTGGAAAGACTACTCAATTCGTCAGTTGTCATGGAAATGCTCAGTTATCTATCTCTGAATAACCTGATAACTACAAACTTATTAGAATTTGTATAAAATTAAGTTCTACCTACACTGCTTATAATCGCAAATTAGTCCCATATGTATGTTCGTCAATTTGGAGATTGGCTTTTACTTTCATATTATGTGATAAAAATGAAATTTCATCGTCCATAGTTCAAGTTAAAGTTCTGCTTGCAATAGATTTAAAAAAATAGGCAATAAATTTGCTTTGATTTTTCAAATATTTACATGGGAATTGCACTTCGTAACTTCCACTTCGCCTTTTTCTCAATGCCTACTTTTTCCATATGGGACTGATATGTGATTAAAGGCAGTATATCCAAACAAAGAATTTAAGGGATTTTTAAACAAGGTTTTGAAATCTTTCTGCAGAGGGTTGTACATTCTTTCGATGGTATATTTAAGAACATCATAGAAAAATAGGATCGAACATGGTTTCAAGAGCGTATGTAAATGCAGGACAATCTCGTTGTTAACCTTCAAGACGATAGCCTGAATGATTCACTATGAAAAAATAAAAAAATATGTTCATGATCTAGATTAGCCATTATCAACCTGAGATATGATGCAGAAAATCGGAGAAGGTCAAGCCTGAAATTTATTTATATTTTCCTAACTAACCTGGAATGCTGAAACATAGTATAAAACATCTAGTAAAATATGATAAATGAAATCTGCAACTTTAACATCTTCAGATAACTGCTTCAATAGACTATGCATTCTGAGTTTCTGCTAAATATAGAAAACATTTAAATAAAAAGCCGCAATTACTTTCAGTTTCAACCAAATTCTTAAATAATATTCTTCGATTGATAATAGGGAAGTTCTTTAAATGATGTTATTTCACACTAACTTTTTATTGCAAAGACTATTCAACTTTAAAACCTGATTCAAACAATTACTTCTGCTTAACTTTAGCACCCCATTTGGAGTGTAACACCTGCTGCCAATTATTATACTACTAGTAAATTGTGTTGACTAGTATATTGAATGACAAGCATAGCAACACTTTGGGCCATGTCAGAATAAGTTAGTTATCTGAGGAAACTGATAATTAACACCAAAATGTCGTACAACTTATTTGAACCATAAAGCTTCTAGGCCCATTTTCAACAACCACTTTTTACAAATATATCAAAGCTTTATGCTTCAAACATGGATGTTGCACTGTCACATCCTTGATTTTTTGTATCATTCAAACAAGAAACACACAGCTATGTGATGCAAAATCTTCTGAAACTTACCTGGAACTGTACAGATTCCGAGCCGATTCCTGCGACTTGACAAAGTTGGCAAACGCTAGCAGCGCGCTCGCCACCAAAATCCAGACGTTCCGCATCTTCCACAAGACGTCCTAGCTGCCACCAAACTCTTCCCAAACGCAACAAAAAAAAAAACACTCGCACTTCCTTCGACGCCCACAAACAGACTTGAGCAATGCTCGTCGCTTACAAAATCGTTGCACTACTTCAGCTCCAAACGGTCTGCTCTCTGACTTCTTCGCTCGCCGATAGCAATGCTCACTAAATTCACACAATATTCTTCTAGCTCTGCTTCGCAAGTTTTTCACAATGCCCCAACAAGGTGTAAATCCCGATTCTCAAGCCCCCGACAACAATTGCCGCTGTAGATCTCTATCGGAAGGGATTTCCCTACTCGTCGTCGTCGTCGAAGAACTGGACCGCTGATACTGCCGCTACTGCTATTGCTAAAAGAATTAACACAAACAAACGATCACTCCCTTGCGTTGATACAAGCCGCGGTTGCCGCCCCTACGCTATTGTTGCAAATGGCATTAATGGAATTAATTTCCACATATAGGCAAACACGCACACGTGGCCCCACTAAATTTAATTACAAAAATGTTACAATCAGTCTGATCCACTCGCAGATAGGGTGGCTAACTATTAGTCTCTCGAGATTGATTTCGAACAAGATTGTTTTGTTCAAAGTGTGCTTACTTTGATTTATTGCACCGCGCTGACAACCGTCGACAACATGTGATCTTGGTGGAAACTAGTTTGGAACCCAAAAGAGACTTGAACGCTTGCAAGCGACAAACCTTTTCTTTCGAATGAGAAAGCAATTCGGATCGCTGTCATGAGCAACCGTCCCAGTGTTTGGATTAATGTGAAGGCTTCTTGGTGACCTTCAGTGCATCTTTCTTGCACTTTAATCACACCGTGTCCAATCCATACACACACACACACTTGATTGACTTGAATCTTTTTTGTTTTGTTTTTATTCTCCCAACAGAACAGAAGCTGCATCGCCCAGCTGTTCAAGCCATCAGCATTGGGATTTGACACGCCATTTGCGAGCGCATTGAACATATAATGCTCGCGGCGCGTTTGAGAAGGCGAACGAAAATGATGCTAAGCCATCAATCAACACAACACAGTCTAGTATGGCGATGATAACAATGGACGGTAATCACTACGCATGTTTTTACTTTGATTCGTGAGATGTGTGGGAATGCGGTTGGTTGGTTGGTTGGCTTTGCATATCAGCTAGTGTGAGCGCATATGGGTCGGAAGGCACTTGTGGGTGCCGTCGTCGGTAGATTTTGAACATTCATTGTTTTGATGAATGGAAGAACTTTTGCTGCGTTTGCTGAATCATGCAACCTAGTCCCAAAAATCATCAGTAGGTAAGATGGGGTAAGATGGACCCCCCCGGGCAAGATGACTTTTTGAAAATTTTGATTACATATATGTTCAATATATTGCCGTGGATTTATCATGCAGTACTGCTATTTCATATATCGAACTAGCAATGTTCCTTATCAGATCCTCTAAATAGAGGTAAACAAAGGTATTCTAATCGTAAAAAAAAATACTTTTCGCCCCCCTACACTGTTGAGCGACTTGAATTCAAGAAGCATTTCTGATTATTTTGACTGGCAGTCTGGCGCTTTGAGAACCATAGGCTACAATTCCCACACAAATTAATCTTGTTGATGATTTGATTTTGCTACGCTTCGATTTTGTGGTATTTCTAATGAGCAATTCCACAAACTTCATTGAATTCAGCAATTCCAGACCAAATAGCATAAAGAAAATTGAGCTCTATTCTCGACCTTCTCCTAATTGCATGAAATGTAATGTAATGTAGAATAGAAAATTTTTGGAACAATTTTTTTAACTAACGAGTGCTTAAAATTTGTATTATTATTAAAGTTACGAAGAGTCCAATTACTTTTGGGTTGAAATTTTTTGATACTTCCCAAACTAGAGGGCTGGCAATACACTCCCGTAAGATACGTTCCATGCTAGGAAGAAAAAGAAGAAGGGTTTCTGTAATTCCTGATTTTTTTTTTTAAATGCAGGAAGCTTTGGGAGTGTAGAAAACCCTTAAAATTTCGAATTTCACTGAGACTCTAAAGCTTGCTGAATTTCTGAACCTCTACGAACTATTAGTGTTCTAAATGATTATAGAGTTCTATATATTCTTGAAGTTCTCAGGAGATCTGACGGATCCTGGAGTTCCAAAACTTTCAAGAGATCCGAGTGCTCTTGGCATTCTCCTGGAGTATTAAGAGTTCTCGTATTTAATAATATTCCAAGAGTATTGTTCTTGAATTCGTGGAATCTCTAAGAATTTTCAGAGGCTTGGAGTATCTTGGAGTTCTAGGGAGATTTGAGGTATATAGGAGTTCGAGGAGATTCTGAAAGCTATTCGGTTGAGTATTCAATGTTCCGGGAGGAACTATAGGAATATGCTTAAGTTCCAGGAGCTCCTTGAGTTCCAAGAGTGCATGCCGTTCTAAATGCAATATGTGTTACTCCTGGAAGTCCTGAAAATAGTCAGTGTATTTCTTGAAGTTACTTATCCCTCTGCAGTTTCAAAGAATTCTTAGATCCAGAAGTTTTGGAAACCCTGAGAATAACTAGAAGATTTGAATTTTTTGATTTCTTTGCGTTCCACAAATTTTAATCAATGCAAATATCTGGTGACTTCCAAGCTTTACTATAGAGTACATTAATTTATTTGATAAGGCTCAACCGAATTAACTTAACAGAGCCGAGGATTCTTGGTCACTATACAATACATCTTAAAACTATAGTCAAAAGGTACAACACAATAAACACTTTATCTTTCGCTATCCAAAAAGCCTCCTCCATCAGAACTGGAGCCGCTTCCAGTGGTTTCATGGTATGGCAGCTACGCCATCGTGGGGCAAAGCGCTTCCATTGCAACAATGGACGCAAAACGTGGTCAACACTCACACACTCATCACGAAACGGTTGCGTTCCAAAGTCGACGACGCATCGACCGAAAGAACTGCTGATGAAGAACAATGAGGAGGATCACACAATGGTTGCTGCCGAGAAAACAGACAATCGCGTGGCACACATCGAGAGTGGCCTGCTTTTGTCGACAGCCGAGTGAACACTGAAAAGCTTTACTATGATGCTGACAATATAGGAAAAATATTAAACAGATGTTATGATTTTGAACTGCAGAGCACAAGCAAGTAAACGACATTGAGGGCGTGTTGCCAAAACCGAAATTGAACATTTGCCAGACCAACAGAGTTTCTTGCACTTCAAAAGAGTTTTTAAAGCTTCTGGAAGTCCAAAAGTTCTGAAATTTATCAAATTTTAAAAATTTTAGAGTTCCAGAAATTGTTGGGGTTTACATGACTAAGCATCAGAATACCTGTGGGTTTCTTGTAGTTCTTTTTTTTTCCTAGGGTAAAGGATTGTTTGAAATTTTTCAAAGCACCGGAATTTCTAAAGTTTCAAGAGTTGAGGAGCTTTAGGAGTGGTTTCGGTAATTTTTTTTTAGTTCCGTTATCCGTTATTTTATGACAGATACGCGAACTTGGTTCACTTCTTGTAGACTTTCAGAGGCACTGAACAAAGATGGAAGTTTAAAAAAATGATGGGTTAACTCAAAAAGCTTTTCATATGAGATTTTGTTAAGAGCTTTGAGGAATTCGAAGAGTTACTGAAATTTCAAAAGTTCCAGAAGTTCTAAGAGTCCATACAGTTCTTAATGTTACGAAATGTCTACACCCATCAAACAATTTGAGCTGTTTAATGCCTAAATAGGATTTTTTTTAATGAAGAAGCATATTTTTGCCTGAATAAGCCTAATTCTGCATCCAATGTTATTGAGCAGTTTTTCCACATCAGGAAGCTCTCAAAGTAATGGCACTACTGCTAGTACCAAAGATTTCTAACGTTTTTTTGGCGTTTCAGGGGTGTTTAGAGTATTGAGAGCAGTGTTGGCAAAATATTAAAATATCAGATCTCACCAATGCCCAAGATCATGCTTGATTTTTCGTAGACACAACTCAACAAGCAAGCAACCGCGGATGAAATCGTAGCTACGAATATCAAGCTAACAAAACTCACCAGCTACAATTCAAACCCAACTGTGGTGAGTTTGAGTTCCATAATTTTTGCTTTACATCCGAACGCGACCCGAAACTACCCGTCACAGCTGGCAGCAGTATTTTCGTGTCTGTCCATCGGTAAGAGTGCAGAGAGATAGCAAACAATACTTTCTCTTTCTAGGAAACCAATCCCAAGTAACATTGCACGTTTTATAGTGGTTTTAAAGCATGCTACAAGCAGGCATGGAAAATCATTTGCATTCATTTCGTGCATTCATTTACATTCATTTGCCCCTAACTTTTTTCATCAACAGAATTCCGCAAAATGATGTATAAAGCTTTAGTAGTTTTTGTTATTAGCTACAACTTTTGTTCGAATCTCAAATCTGTATCTCTTATGCATCACGAATTAGAGCGGGAAGAACTTGTTACTGTTTTTCAGTGAATGTAAAATACATTCAGTGACAAATAGTATTGGATTCTGTTCGCTCTGGTTCGTCATACATAAGAGATACGGATTTAAATTGTTAACAAAACTTGTAGCTAATAGCAAAACCTACAACAGCTCCATACATCATTTTGCGGAATTCTGTTGATGAAAAAAGTTAGGGTCAAATGAATGTAAATGAATGCACGAAATGAATGCAAACGATTTTCCATGCCTGGCTACAAGTCTAAAATCATGGTCTACAGAACCCTCATAAAACCAGAATTGTTACTTGGGATGTGCAACGGAATAATTTTTTTTTTTCGAATCAACTCTCAGCTTGATTTTTGCACGGAAACAAATCAGATTCCATTTTCATGAATAAAAAATCATGAAATGAAAAATCTTGCCATCCCATGAAATCGTAACAATAATTCATGATTTCGTCATGGAAATTCATGATTTCATAATGCAGTGGAATCAAGACCGCTACAAGCGTTACACGTACTTGGCAAACCGTGTTCATAAACCGCACAACATAGGTATCTCTTATACGCCTTTTGTCTTCCAACTTATACAAGTACTAATAGTCTAGTGGTCAAAGTATGGGTTTAATGATCTCAAGGTTCTTGGTTCAAATCCAGTCTGATGCTTTATTTTATTCTTTTTGCATGTTTTGGTTAACGCACCAAAATCTAGCTCATGATTTCAACTCGGATGATTCATGATTTTGGGAATGTTTGCTGCGTTACGCAAAAGTTGCTCATGATATCATGAATATTATTCATGGTGTATTTTCATAACATGAAAATACGCTGTGTTCATGAAATCATGAGTCATTTTTCTCATTTCGGAGATCGGATTTTTTCCCGTGTGCGCGCTGTGAATAGGCTCACAATATCAAGCATGATATTTTGTTTCAATATCATGCGTGATA